CAGTACCAAGGGAGGGGGAGATAGCGCAAGGATCACGTCTTATTATATCAACGTTGTGGCGTGCTGGTTATCCTTTTTCGGCGTTGGGTTTCTTAGTCTTTATTGGTGTCGTAATGGGGATGCTCTGATGGTAGTTTGAATACATTGTCACGCATAGGACTATCGATAGCGCCAGCGGAATGGTATTGTTTAATAATCAGTAGTTGGAGAATCAGAATGAAGAGATGTTACTGTTCCGCGAAAACAATGAACGGCAGTTGATGTGTGGAATTATTGACTGACAGAGCCAAAATGTGAGACATTGATTAATCATCTTTTTTGTAATTAATTAGCCGACACTTGACGTTTCTCATGACTCTAAGAGCCTGTTTTTTTTTAGCCGTTCGAGAAGGATAGACCACAACGATCTGTCTTCGAATCTCGTTGGATCGGAGATTTCCTTGGAATATGTACCATGTACATAGCCACTTCGGGACCATTCGAAACCGACGAATCGATCCTAATCTGCATGGTTCGAGGCGTCGTGGGGGCTTTCTTTCGTGCGTTGATGCAACGATATTCCCTCATCTCTTTTTTCCCACTTAGCCACAAAGAAATATATTAGACGAGGCACAAAAGGCCTCCATCTATCAATCAAGGAAATTCTATGCTGCCAAGGCGTGTCTGATACGGTATGTACAAACAAGCGTCAACGGTCGGACTAAATGCTGGATAGCGCGTCTCCCGGATGACAAAAAAGAAAGAGTCTCAACTTCACAACCACATCTCCTCCTTCTGTTCGAGTATCTTGATCACCGTCACATTGACATACTCTACTGGCTTTAGATGATCACCGTCGTGTAAATTTGAGGGTCTTGCGATATTAAGTCATGGCGATCACTTTGATGTCGATGCTGTTTTCCTTTATCTCAACTTCTCAAGGGTGGTCCCGATCTAGGTAGATATCGAGCGGCACAATTGTTCAATTTGACATGCCTTTGGCTTTCTGCTTCTCTATTGACGTGATCTTTTCGCCAATCACTGTCCAAGGTCTTTCCAATTCATGATATTGTGGCAAACCATCAAAGTACTGATAGCCGATGACTTGGAGAGTTGGATACGGTAGATGAGTAAAAGAGCTAGAACTTTTTCACAAGAGTCTAGAAGAATTGTGGGCTATTTTCTGGACGCCATCACAATAGTGGCTACAGCGTGTTTTTTTAACACATGAATTGAAAGGACTATGGCGAGGTCAGGGACAACAAAGAATTCCTCTTTTGGTTTTTGACTTTTCGAAATTACACATCTCTGGAACTAACAATTCATAGATCAAATTCCACGAGTCAACCGGGGTCTGCTACCAGTGTGCACGGCTTTCACCCCATATGCAGTGCGACTCGGCCGTGGGATTTGACGGGCTCGGACGTCATATGAATGGCAAAAAAGAGCCACACATCTTCCTCGATTGCTGTTTGTCGAGCTCTAGGATCTATGAAGTTCTGTCCATCAAGAAGATCATCTAGATTCAGTTGAGCCAGGAGCCCGTGGAGCCCCCGTTAATTTGCCGTTGTCACTCATTTTATACTCTACTCGCTTCATTCCACGAAAAAGATTTTATAGGGGTCGCACTAAGTTGTATCCACCATAAAACTGGTACTGGTAACCTTTAGCAGCTTTGGCGGTACGCTATGTTGAGCTAAGACACCACACTATGAGAAAATAATCAAGCCTGATATTTACTACTCGCCCCCCACAGGGCAGTAAGCTTTGAAAGAAAACTCAGGTACCGTTGAATTAGAGCAATCACCTTGACTATCTTGAGAAGCACTCGGATATTATGACTGGCTTCTTCTGCACTGAAGCTGGGGACATTAGTTGCCAATATGCATATAATAAATAGGACCTCCGCCTCCACATGGCAATACGCATTGTCTAACGTGGGTGCCATCTTACTTCTTTTTACATTCACTTGGTCTGACCCCTCATACATATCTCATTCAAGAGACTAAACTATCATTGTATCTCATCTCCTAAAACGCGAGCTATCATATCAAAAAAGCAGACGTTTCTAACCATGTCTCTACTATTTTACAAAAGACCTGATTATACCAACAAAGTAAATGGTCCTTTAAATGCTACGGAATGTCAACGATATGTTGCAAGAGCGAAAAGTGAGTTAACCTTATCTCATCCAGGTTAATTTGACTAACGCTCGCCAGACTCCGAACGTACAATTCCACCCGGGTTACGGTTTGAAGACGTGATTGAAAACCAATCTCTTCCAGTATGTTTGAAGTCTCCATTGAATGATAAGCCCTTTACTAATATTTATTTTAGCCATGTTCTTTAAGTGATTTCATGGACTTCCTTGTTTATATTGAGCACGATGCAGAGAATCTTCAATTCTACCTATGGTACAAAGACTATGTTCGTCGATTCGAGGCTCTCTCAGATTATGAAAAGAAGCTGTCTCCAGAATGTATACCGGAAACAACCGAGCCCTCTGCTCTCGCCAGGGATGCAGAAAAGAACGAAATGAGAAAGAGAAACCCACCAATGGACGTTTCGGACTTCAACGATATGGCCGACTTCGATGCAGATGTTAAGTCTAAGGATGGCCAGTCTCGTACCGATTTATCGAGGGCCGACAGCGCTCTGGGTAGTCCAGCAGCCCCTTCAGTTTTATCAAATAGCACGGGAGGACGCTCGGGAGACAAACCGGGCCAAGCAGGTCACAGATGGCAACCTTGTATGCGCGGAATTTCTTGAAGAAGAAGATTAGTACTAACTTCATTTAGTCACCATTCAGCCTATGCGAGAAGAGGTCAACCGTATAATGCGACATTATCTTGCTTTTAATTCTGCTCGAGAACTTAATCTATCTCACAAAGACCGCGCTTTATGCCTACACGCCCTTCAACACACAACCCATCCATCAGCTTTTCTACCAGCTGTGACCATAACTGAAGCTACACTTCGAGGCCAATCACATCCGAATTTTATTAGATGGTCTATATGCAACGGCAATAAACCTCGCGTCTTCTTCGTCCGTACCATGGGTTTCAGTAATACAATATTTGGGTTTGTGATCGCGATTCTATTGACGTTATCGAGCGTTAGTCGGTGGTGGAGAATATTTGCGGGCGTGCAATGGTTTCTAGGAATTAGTTGCCTAATAGCAGCCTACAAAGGTCTCTGCTTGATCATGCACCAATCGCACAACCGTAATCTACGGCCCTGGGAACAAATTCTACAACAGGAAGCCGCCGATGAGGAAAGTGGACGACACTCTTTTGAGAGTTCATCGGAACGACGCATCAAAATGACAACTCGCATGGGCGACGATCATGATAAGCAAAGCGACGGGGTCACAATTTCTGAAACTTCGACTATGTCGAGTTTTGGCCCGAAGAACGATGTGCAGGAATTTGAGGAAAAGTGGAACAGCATATACGAGAAAAAGAACCTGGTGAGAAAGGTGTTCGATAAGACTACTTGGACTCAAGACGAAAACTTGAGATTCTTACAAGATAAGATTGTGACTGGGGCCCTCGCTTGGAGTTTTATGACTACGTTGCCGTTGACGATTATATTTATCGCGTTGCCAAAAGGAAACTTTTATTAAGGTTTGCGGACATTGCCTAAAAAGTACTGGGTACCCTTGCGCGTAGTTCAAGATCAGATGCTTTGTATATGTTTGGATTGGTTAAAAAATCTCGATACACGGAGATGACTTTATGTCTAGACTTCATTGGGACCAGGCGAGAATCCTGGCATTTCCAAACCCTAAAATGGGGTTTCTTGTAAATATATTTAACGATTCGTTACTTCATCTTCGCAAAAAACAACGTGATTGTGATTGTGATTTTAAAAAAAGGCAAATTACAATTTAGATTTTTCCTAAGCACGGGGAATCCCCAGTGGAGATTTTAGTCCCCGGTGAACTTTGCCTTGACTTGCAGTATTTGGAAGGTGGTTGTAGTCTGCTTTTCGAACTTTGGGGAAGAACTATCCAATAAGATATTTGTGTTCTTGAGATGCGAAGTTGCTAAACTAGTTTCTGCAAGTGCATTGAGTCGCGTGTTGCCAAGCTGTGAATCGAGATGGCTTGTGTGGCGGGGACGTTCGTGAAGACGTTTGCGTGCTTGGTCATATCTATCTACCGTTTTGCTGTTAAGCAGCATCGGACTGCTATTTTGCCAATGGGAAATCTCACTACATGATGCATTCAGCCAAGCACAAAGTCTCGGGGTCTCCTATACATTTGCAATACAAGAATAGCAACCCATGTGCCGCCGCTCGGTCGCCGAATTGGGAGTCTGCGGCTTGAAAGTCTTCTTGAATCAAGTGGTGCTTTAGGATTGACTCGATATCTGATTCGCGATGTCGATCTCCCCGGTTCTCCAGGGTTTCTTCGGTAGAGTGTTATCAAAAATACGCAGTTCTGCAGCAGCAGCACACTTACAAAGGCATTGAGAATAACAGCTATGTTATGTTGCCACCAATCGAATCATTTTACCATATAAGTCGAAGGCCAAGAGCAAAAGCGGTATGATATTTTATGTAATATTGGTTACTCTATCTCTACGTGGGAGAGAAAACAGGCCGGAGTTGACCACTAATAAAGCCCTTCAATAATACAAATGTTCAATTCCGATCGAAAGAATCAAATGTCTAAATAATTTTTATGATTAAAAATCATTCAAGGATTTGTTTAATGTTATTAATTTTCAAATTTTTATTATTGATTGATTTACTATAGAAATTATTAGAATGATTAATTTTGGCCTCTTTTTTCTCCTACGAATAGTCTGTAGACTTGGTTCTGCCTTGATTGGGATCGCTTGTCCTTCAAAATGCTTTTTGGGTTTTAAATATTGATTGCAACCACAAAGATAACTCCTGCGTCAGTGGTTGAAGCCTCTTAGGGGTTTCGGGGGCCATGGAGGATGATAAGAAGGTAACCTTCGTCTTACATTTCTTTTCTTCTTTCTCGGGTTTGCTTCGAATGGCATTCAAAAATGAGTGCTTCAACTGTGATCCCAGCTGTGTGTTACAGTAGTTGTAGTATGAGGATTATTTCCCTTACAATCATGTGATGCTAATTCACTTATCTAGACAATGCATACATCGACGCTTTGAGATTTGGCAAGACACCAGCATTGTGCTCAGATTCATCATTCAACAACGAGTATAGTTCTTGCCGGGAGTGCGTTGCAGCAAATAGCTCAGATCCAGCTGCGGTGAACGAAAATTATGTGGAACATCGATTTGAACAGTTCTTTCAATATTGTGCGTCACTAAATGGGTCCTCTATAGCGTCGAGTATAGTAGAGAGTACGACAGTTGCAACAACCTTAAGTGTCGCCTCCTCACTACTTTCCTCGCTCCCAATTTTCACAACTATTAATTTGAGTTCTACTTCCACTCCCTCCGGGTCACCATATGCAACCATCACAGCAACCAATACTCAAGGTATCTCATTATTCAACGGAAGCATGATTACCATCACATTTTCTAATGTGATAACATTATGGACCCAAACAAGTTCCAGTAAGATAATATTGGTCGTTCGAAATGCGGCTTACTAATTGTATTCCATTTAGTTTCGTCCTCTTCAACAACAAATTCTCAATCTAAATTAACACCTGGTCATGCGCAGTTTCATGGTGTAGTTTTTGGCTCCATTTTTGGCGGACTGGCAATTATTGCTTTTGGTGGGATCTACTGGTAATTTTTGAGACACTGGCACTTGAGAAAATCGAGGGTTAGAGGTGGGTCTGGTGATGGAAGTGGCCATGAGAAAGCGCAATTGCATTCCGATTGTATCTCACCCAAGAATCCGGAAGAGATTGATGGGTCACCAAAAGGCCCAGTCGCAGAATTGCCAGCTATAGAAGCTGTTGCAGAGATGCCAGGGAGCATCAACTACTTGCCCCGGGAGGTTGGGTGACTTCGTGTGGTTCTGTAATAAACGTTTTGGGGCCTATTGTAATACATAAGTTCATGGCGCATCAATTTGCCCCAAGTCATTCAAACATGGATTCTGGAGTTACTGAGTAGCTCGTGTCCATCGACGTCGGATTTATGGGCAATGAATCTAAATCGTGGTACTCCGTGGCCTCGAGCTCATGAATCTCTTGCCATGGGTCTGATAATTCAACCGGTCGATCCACCGTCATGAGCTCGGGCATGTTTTCAATCCTGGTACGATGACTGGATAGAATATTGAATAACATCGGTTTCGTGGATTCGAAAACGAAAACCGATCTCATACAGTTCTTGACGGATATCATAATGCAGATAGCTAACAGAATTCCAAATATTATGGGAGCGACGAAGATAGACGAAAAGCCATGTTTCGAGCCAATCTTTTCCAAGACTGGTGCATATTGCATCCTGGAGCTGACATCAAGGCATGCAAGACTTCCCCCAGGAGTACCGATGGATTCAAGCTCTGATGGTATGCGACTACAATTCCAAGTACCATTTCTCATCGCGCCAGGAAGCGAAGGAGATAAACTCTTCAAGTAAGGCAATGGTATTCTGTTAAAATTAGTACTATGAAGAACATGTGATTTCCCATAGGCAAACTAAGGGATCAATCAGCACATACTTTATGAAAGTGCCATTGATCACAGCCAGTCGACCACAAATTTCTGCTAAACTAGTTCAATTGACATGCATCAAGTTTTTGCTACCCGAGATCTCTAGACCTTTATCGACACGTATTAGGGCTGGCATAGAAATATTCTGCAAGTTTCTGTTTTCCTGTGATTTAAGCGATTAATTGCCAATAGGTGTGTCGCTGTTGTTATAAAAACTCTCGCTATGCGCCAATCATGCAACACGTTGCAGAAGTGGTAGAGATACTGACCGTAGATTTTCGTTGCTAGTAATTTCGAATTTTTCTTGGATATACTCAAGTTTTGGAGCCGAATATGCCGAGAAGTAGTTGGCTGCCACAACCGAGCTTGAACAAATTCTAAAGCTGGCATGTGCACCTCAGCAGCCCTGTATATCTCTCCATAAAAGGAAGCTTTAGCAGAAGAGTAGACTTGCAATGAAGAATCAGAAGGTGGATCTTGAATGTGAAAATAGCTTGAATAGGATAAATCAATCAGCTGAGGCCTGGGTTGTCGATTGCTCGGAGAGAATGCACAACACCCATGTTTGGCAGAAAACCTGATGCAAGTTGCACATTTTCAATATTTGCGTTTTCCACCACAAGCGATTCTGGAAATTCGATTTTTAACGAAGAGGAGATGTTTCTGAGATTTAACAAATGTACCGAATTCAGCCAAGGAAAGCTCCAAAAGTTTGGTATATTAACGTTGTCCATCGTAAAATTGTGTGCTACATACCGAAGCATCGAAGAAGACACGTCTTGGAGATCGCGCCAATAAAGAGGGCCTCATTCAATCGATCCGACTACCTCAAAGCCTTCCAACGAAATCTGTTGGATTCCATTCATCGGGCTTACGATGAATCCGCCAGGTAAGTATTTGCACGCAGAGACTGCGAATGCTTTGGCTTGATCCGTAGCCATGACGAAAGATTGAGAACATATTTTATCCAATCTGTTTGCTGTAAGACAAGTCACGGTTTAATTCAGCCAGAACTATGCAGTTCGTTTACAACATACGTACGACATAAGTTCCACATGCTGTATCGGCCTTCTTGAAAAATGGCCTAGTACAAGGAGAAATTAGTTGACGCGAAACAACAATAAAAGAGTGGCCACACTACTACCATAACTAAGGAACACAGCATGTTACTTGGACTGACAGGTCAATCAATATGAGATGGGCATCGCTGACGACATATTTGGGTGGGGGCCAATGTCAGTTACTATTTTTGTTGCAGCCTTTTCAAGAATACATTTCTCAGGGTATGTATAGGTTTGCATAACTCTTCTGTGGCTTATTATAATACTAGCGTTGTATGGCGATGGGCTTTGCTAACCACTCGAGTTTTCTCGTGTTGTATGATTGCTGATTGGTTTAGTAATCGGAACGCCAATCGGCATTCTCATCAAGTCATGAGGGTTTTTACGGCTATTTGTGTCCGAATGTTGAAAGCTTCTTCTTGGTTGAGTGGGAATACTATCCTAAAACATTCAGTTCTGTGTTAATAAATTTCTGAAGAAAAAAAGGATATCTCATTGAGCAGCACAGAAACACTAAAGGAAATAGACGCAGGTAGCCGAATAGAGATCAGCCCCTCATGGAAGCTATCTCTCTACATAGCAGAGGCCACACTGCTCATATTGACAAGCAAGATGGGAACAAGAGAGGGATAAATTTTATTCACAGCGAAATCCCATTGATTCATCGTCCTAAATGCAGTATCCGACTAACATCGCTCATCAACTACCAACCATATGCTAGAAGATAGAAAGCGTTCAGTGTCTGAAAGTGGGTAGTTATCGTCGAGTTAGGTAGGGCTATCAACACACTTGAGATGTTCGTGGCATTGTGGATGCCGAAAGAGAAGGTAACTGTGCTCGGCTGAAGAAAACTGAGATAATATATCAGTCAACTTGACTTTAATCGCGTTGTTATCAAAGGAACTACTACGCTTGAAAACAGGAGAACTGGGAAAACTGCACTCATGTCAGTTGATTAAACCTTGAAGTACTAGATTCAGCAGTGAACGAACATTCGATTATGAAAGTTGTAAAGCCGCTGATCACGAGCGAGAGCCAATATAACTTTATTTGGCAACATTGTTTGAGTCTGAGACAGGCGACGAGAGGTTCGTAAAGTTCATTCCAATGGAAAAGAACTGTACAAATGAACAACTGTTATGTCACGCAAAGCATGTCTTCGATGTATAAGATTATATAAGAGTAAGTAATCATATCAATATATGAGACTACTCACATGTTGATAGACTTTTAGCCGTCACACAGCAGCCAAACAAAGTATGTGTCACGTAGAAGTTGTAGCACATACGCTGTATGAAAAACATGAGTAAATTAGAGTGAATGAATGGAAAAAGTGAAAGGGAGGCTTGGCCCGCGCCGCTGCCATCAGGACCAAAATTTCCAAATTGTTATTACCCGTCAACCTTGTCCGTCAAACCCGCATACATCATCTGAGAATGTGACCAACAACGCCCTGCTTTGCAGCTTGCGCACCCACACCTCATATTTTCCTTGTAAATCGCGGACTTTTGCTACTGAAGAAGCGGCTTGGAAGTTAAACACTTGGGACTAGGATTGACAGATTGCTGAGCTACCAATGCAGTACTGTGAGCGAACATGCAGAATGCCCCTCGTATTGTGGAACTTGATTTTTTGAGCCGGATTTCGTTCCGGGAGTTGAGTTTGAGCGGGGCTCTATCTTTCCTCAATTCCCAATGACTTCTCTATCAAAGGTCAAGTAACCAATCACGTGAACTACACGTGATTAATAGCAGCCCACGAGATTGGCTAGGCAATTACGTACAACATGCAGACGCATCTTGTGCGCACAAAATCAAACAGTCAGGACGGAATCTTAGTGGATCAATCATTGCTGCGAGTAATAGCTTGTGATCCACTTGCAATATATATACCCGCCGACACTAGGGCTGATATGGAGTGCTGAACGGGATGCATTACATCGTAGTGTGCATGCATTTTGTTGGCTCGATGTCAAGATTGCTAAATAGAGAACGAAGGGAAGATTAACAAAAGCAAGCAAGCGGAAAAATAGATGATCGTAAATGCCTGTCTAAATGGGGCTTTTACATGGTAGTTCTGCCATGGGTGACGAAGGGTTGGAGGGGGACAAGACGATTGATTGGAACGATCGTCTGTGCGACGGCTGCAGATAGCACGGACGGTAAAATAGCTCGATATAAGCAGAAAGGGTGAGAGAGGCACATAAGTAGCAACGGTAGGTGTGATGGAGCAAGGGTAATGTGCCGCCTTTGGAGAGAAAAAATAATCTTGCGGTGGTCGAGTCGTCGATGACTTGTGATTTACGGTGCTCAATTGTAAATATTGACCGAAAGAAGTGGAGAATATATGCTAGTGAAGCCGTCAAGAATCTTAAATTTGTATTCACACTTCGTATGGAGCCGGATTGGGAGATCGAATGCGAGAAGTCTTGAGCATGATTGTGCTCAAGCGGGCTTTAAGTAATATGCAGCAAGGCTGGTAGTTGGATATCTCAAGATGTAGTCTATCCACAAGCAAGTTTTGCAGAACTTGGACCTGCCCACATGCCTTCCTACTTGTCACGACGCTGTGCTAACTTGTGGCTGCTTCATCATTCCTTCACCGGTTCTTTATTCTGAAAACATTAGTTTGATGATTGATCAGATTTCTTCTGCAACTAATCATTCTTCCATTGCACTTGTGCGACCCCCTAGATATCGTACTGCTTTGCTGACTGCATCGAAGAATCATTTACTGAAGTTAATGCTTGTGATGGCTGATGGCTAATGACAACCTGATGACTACTTATTCATCCGATATAGGAAAAAGATACGCAAGTCGATATTATCCGTGTTAACACCTGCAGAATCATTCGATGCACTTGACTTACCTACTTCATTTAAACATTAATGCCAGTCTCGAACTAGACTCTACTTTCCGTTCAACGACATCAAGTCGTCAACTATTTCTTGTTATGACCCTGATGAGCTCTACTTTATTCTGTTCCCTTGCAATTGATCCACTCTCCGGCAAATTTTTGATAGTATACAGTAGGGTAGATCTTAAGAAACATATCCACTATGCATTATCGATAAAAGTATACATCCATCACAAGCATCACTCTTCAAGGATCAAAAAATGTTGTGATGGGGATTTCGTTATGATAGGGTGGATGTTTGCGTTTGTTCTCCCACCAGTACGACCCCAAATTAAGCGAAGAAATTTTGTTGGTCTTTCTCGACGTCTAAATGGTCACAAATGGCAAGGATTTAGTCGCCAGATTACTATATTCGCACTAGCTCCCGTCCATTCAGCATATTCACCTTGCTTACGCGCCCAATGACTGCAGCTCACCTTGATTATCGAATCACCATGTTTTTCCTTGAGTTTTGTCAATTGGGTCGTATAATTCGTGGAGTCCGAATGTACGGTAATCTGACCGGACTGCATGCACATACGCCGAGCAACGAACGAACTAATTGACTTCCCCTCATCAATGGCTGTAGCCTTCCCCTTGTTCAATATTGCACTTGGTCCTGCACTATTGCATGCGGACGGGATTTGCGGGATTCTAGGATTGTACCAATTCTGCGCCTTACCATGAGTAGTTCTATGCTGGGTCCATCCAATGATCAGTCCCAATGGCTACGATGGATGTCCCTTCCTCTGCGACCATAAAGGGACGCTGTGCCCCCTCTCAAAGTATCTTCTTCTCCTCAGCAAGCAGTCAATTCATTCTCAAGAGCTAGTCTCCTTCATTTTCGCCCTTTTTTGTTTTTCTTCATCTTTTTGTTTTTCTCCCCGTTCCCAAAGAGCTGTGCTCTGTAATATCATACCAAAATCTTTACATTCTAATCATTCTATCAAGTTGCCGGTCAACTTTTTATTAATTTTCTATTCACAAATCCCTAATCCATACAATCCGAATTAACCACCAAAGACTAGTCTCTTTTTGCTCGAATTAGCCAATTTCAGTACATTGAATTTTCATCTTAATATTTCGCATCAATCGATCAAAATGGCAGCTATTCAATTATCATTCTCTCTCCGTGTTTCTTCCAGTGTCAAGACCGTTCATCTACTTGGTAGCTGGGATAACTATGCTGGTCAACTTCCACTCGCCAAGGACAAGACTTCTTCCAAATCAGGTAGCTGGAAAGGTACTTTCAGATTTCAAGGCACCACTCTTCAACCCGGTCAAAGATATTGGTATTACTACATCATCGATGGATACCATGTCTCACACGACCCTGCCGTCTCATCCACCACCGAACCAACTACCGGTCGCGTCTTGAACATCCTCGATGTCCCAATCGAAAAGTCCTCAAGCCGATCATCCAAGTCCAGTTCATCAAGCTCCAAGCATTCTTCCAGCTCATCATCCAAGCACTCTTCCAGCTCCAAGTCATCACACTCCTCACATTCATCTTCCCGCAGAGAATCCCGCCGCGACTCACATCTCAGCGTTGACATTCCTAAAGGAAGACCCCTCTCCATTTCTCAAATCAAATCTCCAAAACCCATGTCTCCACACGCCACCAAGCACATCCTTGAAGCTGATTACGCTGCTGGTCCAACTGTCGATGAGTTGACCGCACGCTTCGGTGCGACCTCCATGGATGAGTACGACTATGATTACGATCTTCCAGGCTCACCATCTTCATCCGTCGGCTCCACCATCTCCGACACCAGTGGAACAAGCTCGCCATCTTCAGCTTCGAGCATGAGCGACTATTCATCAGGTTCTAATACATCATCCTGCACCTGTGAGAGATATGGAATTACAAGAAAGGGAGATAGAATCAAGTTGGACTGTGGAGGTTCTCGATGCGGATCCAGCGATTCAGAGTCCTGTAGCTCAGAGGATGAGGCTGATTACTCACGATCATCCCGCAGAAATGGAATCGTTGTCCGTCGATGAATGAACACCTAATGGTCCTGGAGTTGAAATCCAACACAACACTGAAACGCAAACATATGCCACAAAGAGAGATGTGCCATTTTCGCATCTCGCTTAAATATTCACCTCATTGCAAGTTTTCGCATCCAATCAAATCAAAAATCACGAAAAATATGCATGCATACATCAAGTCAAGTCTGGTACTTGTCATGATGGTATGTCCCACAGGAAACCGAATCCGCGGCGCAAAACGAAATCAGCGAATCTTTCGCAAATTTCATGTACACTCAACAAACGACAAGTTTTCATGGAACTATCTACTGTACTTCTTCAACTTTTGGGAAGGAAAAGAAAGTTACCACATGAAGAGGAGGAAAAGGGGACGTTAAATTGCCAGAAGGGGAGGGGGTGCAGGATAACGATAGACACATACTCTCATGATTGTATGAGATATGACAGGTCTTTTATTGGTAATGAAACATGATGGTCATGATTCATGATGATGAGAAACATTGACACGGCAGATTGAATAATGATTATGTGTCAAGTCATGATAACGAGATGATAGATGGATGGGATAGAGGACAATTGAATCTGTTCCACAACATACCTTTTGATGCCTTTTGATTTGTTTGATGTGATTGCGAGTTATTTTAATCTTTTGGTCGCAGGCCCTTGGCCTTGTCAGTGTTTCATGCCTAAATATGTATTTCGCCATAATTTTTAATTGATGGTGTATTGCCAATTGCTCAATAGAAGTCCTATGTAAAAAAGTAAGTTCATTTTTGGCTTTACTCTCATCAATGCATAGTTTCATGGGTAGCTCAATAATTTGGTTAAAACCAACGCCTTGCCCTTTTTTCGTCATCTACGGCCAGCCCTCGACCTCCTATGAAACTTCTTCAACCCCGGATTTATCAATTAATAGTCTTTATTTCTAAACAATACAAGGAAAAGGATCTACACGTATTGAATAATCCCACTCACAAGTTAAATCATTCGCTAGCCAATAATGTTTCAGGTGATGGATGTTGACGTAGCGGTAGATATTCCACATTAACGTATTCATTACGAGCCCTTCTTTCTCATTTAAATGTATCTGTGACTCCGAGTCAACTTCGTTTCATGAATCACTATTTCTCCGCCCCCTTCCTCTAGGGTCTGTCGAGCCAGAGCAAACCCTACTCCTGAATCGAGGAGGTGTCGCGTCCCATTTGAGACTTCTTCTTCCCTCTTTTAACTGGACTCAGAATCAGTCCTTGCAAAACTTATCTCATTACTTTCAGCTTACAATATATCCCGTTTTAGGATTGTGAAGCAGAGCAGAGATCTGGTCATATCCTCAGCTTTTCCCCTCTTCATCTTCACCTCGTGTCCATCACATAATCAGCTCTCTCCGATCGAATTCCATCAACTCTGTCATTGTCCAAACATCCATTTGGGGCCTCTTGTCCCTTTCTCCCACACCCAGAGCTAGTTTGACACTAGAAATTATGACCAAAACATGCTATGAGATGGAAGAAGTGCTATCCATTGATTTTGTCTCGTAATCAACGATCGTTGATTTCGATTTGTGCAAGAAATCATCGATTCTCTTCCTACCATGATGAAGACTTAATCCTTTAAGACCACTAAGTACTAACCCGATACTCCCAGTAGGAGATCCACCTGTGTATCAATAGCTCTTCAATATCACTTCTTCCTCAAGAATGGCCAGTCCATTCACTATCCCTATCTTCTTTCTCAAGACCCGTTTGGTAGCTTGTCTTAGTCAAGTCACCCACAAACGCAGGTTGAATGCCTGGTTAAATTCACTCATGACCTCTAGCCTGTCTTGTTCTCATATACGCCGCCTAAATCGGATTTCTCCAGAGACAAGCTATACGATGAACCTGGAGCAAGTTCTTTGGATTTGCTCGCGCAAAGCTTTATCTAGCTATTAGAGATGTGAAATTGGGAATAATAGGACTGAGGATCACCGCTTATGGCGTTAGCCATAGTGGTACCGTTTAATCTGATCCCTTCTCAAGTCCTCCCTATCAAAATCTCCTTACAGATTTGTCATTGTCTATGCACGCAAAATGTCTAATACGAATGACATAGATGAGCTGAAGTTTCGCAGCCATACCGATGCCTTATTATAAGTACTTCGATCTCCGATCTTTCCCGAGACTTTCTTTCGTAGAACCAACCCGAAAAACACCAGCCAAACTGAAGGAAAGCCAAAATTTTCTTCTACTGTCTCTTTAAACTAAATTGCTAGCTTGGAATCAACTCTTATGTCCTCACAAGATTGAGGTGAACAACATAAGTCAGGAAGTGAATCAGCAAGACGAATTCAGAAACTATGAGAATGACACAGAGGATTATTCACCCTTTGCTAGTTCTTTCTACTTTCCCGCATTTCATTCGTACTAAAACTTCCGGAGCTATCATCAAGAGAGAGTTGAAATGAAGCTGTTCTAGAGAAATAGATTTTTGAAGTTGAGGTGTAAACTAATGCCTGGTGTTTCTACCCTCCCACAACCTCCAGCTGAAGGGTCCTTGAGCTTCAATCCATAAACACGCAAATTGCTCCGCCAAGTTAATACAACCAGACACAAGTAACAGCGACAGAATGGAAACTATATGCATCTAGATGAGAGCTCGTGTAAATTTCCAGGTACTACCCGGATCTTATTCAGCGTTTCCAATATTCGGGACTGTAGCCCAATCTCGAATCCTACTTTGGAGTCTGATGATGATCTTATCAATTTCATGAATCTATGATTATTTTGACTACTTAGTAAAATAAATTTCAACATCTGCGATAGTTTCAATATCTCGAAGGGGTTGAGAATTCTAGAGGTTTTGATTCCTAGACGGTAGTCCGAACTATTGGACACCCTGATCTTGTCTCAACATCTCTCAGGGTAATCAACTGTTACTAGGGCTACTACTGCTGGGCATTATATAGAAAATCTCATAGCCAAGTCAAGTCGCACCTTTCAGCTCATATAAATTATTTCATCCTAGTTCAATCAACTACTCACAGAAGATCGGATAGCCCATAGGATCCTTCCCCATGTACCATAAAATCTGAATTCCACCTGTAAAAATCTCATCCGTCTCACTGCCAATGTGAAATCATGCCCTTGTCAAGCAGATCCTTTTAGAATGCAGTCCATCAAATGGCCATTGAGAAAAGTTATGGTGATCAACCGGCCAGACATTAAGCTATTGTTCGACCCTAAATTCCACTCAACTTACTTAAGATCGCCATCAGCAACCTCTCAACAAACAAGTAATCCTGGTGCATAACCCCATCTAGAGAAGAAAAATGAAGATATAATCTTCTCCCTCCCCAATCCCAATCTTACTAATCTCTAATCTCAACACGATACTTCATCTCACCGAAAACTAAACACCAGCTAGATCATAAGATTGCTGACTCATAACACTCTAAATTCTCAATTTGTAGAACTCTGCTCATAACTGACAACAGCAGTCAGCATTCAGTGCTGACTGCTTGATTCTCTTGACAGAAACATTAGCCGTGAGTTAAGTACTATCACCGCCGAGGAAATAAAGATGAAGAGACGAGAAAATTATTTATGCGCCGAGACACACAGTCAGCCATTGTGAAGCCTTGGATGATTTATGAACCGATGTTGAGTGAAATGCTGGAACTCTGCAAACTAACCCAATCCCATTAATTAGATTATAGGTAAGATTTAAGTTGAGGTGAGGCAGGTACGAGAATGAGCAAGTCACTGATGCTTTAAGCGCGGCAAATGAGGTTATTCCCAGCCGTGTATGGGTATACAATCCCTCATCTATCCCTTCGATCAGAACTACTGATCTCAAGACATATTTTCCTCCAGCTTGAACACTCTACATACTTCTTTCATCAAGCAGCAGCCCAGACTGTCAATATGGACTCCGATAGTAGAGACCAACTGATTCCTCGAAACGACCCCCGAACCCCTCGATGGCTCCTCGATCTCCACAATTGGAGGCTCGAGCGATACATCGATATCGCCCGTACCATTGCAACAGAAGGCTATGGAATTTTTTCATACACCTGGGGCTATATTGCCGATCTGGACAAACCGTAGGCAGACGATAAACTACCAGACGGTCTTCTCTGGGACGTACCAACTACTTCTAAATTCAGTCTTGAACGAGCGAGAGAGGTAATGGGCAAAGTTGGCACTCGCTATGTCTAGTAGGATTGGATGCGTGTTCCTCAGGAAACTAGGAAAGGTCGCCGAACGATCACTCCCCGCTTGAGAAGTGCAGCACTCGAAGAAATCGCAAAGCAATTGTGTGTTCGCTTATTCCAGTTTCTACCAAATGATAACTGGTCAATTCGTTGGGAATATATACCGCAATGCAAAGAAGAGTATCGTGTGGCTTCATTCCAGACTGGAGTTTGCAAAGCCCCTTGAAAATGCTCCTACTAACCGCGTCAACAGACAATGGAACGCTACCCACCGAGCCCAAAGCCTATTTTGACAAAATCGTGCAATTGGTCACTCAATCCCAGCAAGTAGAACGTTGGTTTTCCTCGGGTTGGACGCTCCAAGAAGGTGTTCTACTCCCCGAAACGATCTTCATCGATGGCGCGAGCAATGCTCTTCAACACGAAACGTTTATGCACAATGGAGGACACGCTTCGGTAATCGACTTGACGGTCAGAATTACTAGACTCGCTGTCGAGGTAGCCCAACCCTTCTTGCTGTAAGCCGATGGGAAAGAACCCTAAAATCAGGTCGGCGTACTGATTGATGAGAAGCTTCACATGGCAAATGAATTTCGACAAATCCTCCATGCTCTGGTCACTTCTGGCCCCGTCGCGTACGGTAAGGCTTCCACTGTATATACTCAATGGCAAACAGAGCCGCAAATTCGGCATGGAGCAGGATTCTTGCTGGGCATTGATCGGAGCAAGGGAGCTTGAGGGCGTTACTGTCAACTACACACTCTCTATGGATGAAATCAAGATGATATTTCTCACAGCGTTGATAAAGAAATATCAATGGTCAATGCTTTTGTTGCCTCAGCCTTTGTTTTCTGTGAATGGAGGGCAGTTGGCGAACGATTTTAAATGGACCAATATTGTGGATGGCCTCTTGATTCCAGTTGGAGTGTTTGTAGATTCGCAAATAGGCTTAGGATCACCAAGTATGCTACCACGCATGTCACTTGACAACGCGACGACGATAACTGTTCAGCCACCTCAGACAAGCCAGACTTTCACGTCGTGGAAGAATTCGGATATAAAATGGTATCTACATTACGTTCAGACAGAAGAAGGAGTTGAGATTCGGTCCCCAGCATCAAACACAAACTCCACACTACATATCTCTGACGCGGTCTTCCTGAAGCTAGAGGATCTCGGCAAGAACGACAAGGCTCCTACTGCATCTACTGGTATGAGATGTGTTGCTATTATGGGGCTTGGCACACCACAGATCAAAGAGTCTGCCGGCGTATTTGGTGGAATCGTGGATCTCTGGTTTGCAGGAGGAAGCAAAGTCGAGGTTCCAAGTTTGAAGATCCATTTGTCGGCACACTAAATCGACGCCACCAAGACTGGTGGGCGAACGTTTAGATTTTAAGATCAAGCTAGATAGGGAGATTTCATTCAAAAGGCTTTATTGAGTAGAATGTGATATTTGATCGAATTATGTTGAATTTTTATCGCAACCTTTCGAATTTTTGAGTAAAAGGATACGATTGCAGCGTAAATCATTAAGGACGTGAGTGATGTATTGCTTCGTGACATTTGTATGAATATTACCAGATACTCTGGCAACCTCTCAAATTTCGAGCTAATAGCATACTCCCTATGCAATCCCAAATTTCGAGCCATTGAACCCCAAGAGCAAAGTTCTTTCATAACCCCGTATCATCAGTGATTCACCTCTCATTGTAAACAGAGACCCCGATAAATCCACTCAGGTATATGCATCCACATCACCGTATTCACGCAGGTGCTGCAAGCAGAACGCAAAGTAAAGAGACAAGACAAAAAATCTCAATAGAGTAACATGATTTGTGAGAAGTCATGGGTGAAGTAATACTTCCCACCGACTTGAATCTCTCCGGATTGAATATAGTTTTCCTTGAGTTGTGTGCTACTATGCATGGGGAATTCGTTTATTTCTTTCCCCTACCATCCCACGATCCCCTGAAACTGTACTTCATTGGCGATAATAATGTTCTTCGGTGTCCTCAGATCTCCGCATTATAGTGTCAACACCCATTTTCCAGTTCTCCCTTCTTATATTTCTGGAACATCTCTCCTCTCCCTTTTATACCAGTACACCGTCCCCCTCTCCCCAACACCTCCTAAATACCCTGTCTCTATGTCTCTCAAGATTTCTCCACTTGGCCACTCCCTCCGCCAACCTATTATCACCCTTTCCCCACCCCAACCCCTCATCACCTAACAACCACGTGTAAGCGAAAACGCTCGCATCAAAGAGGCCCGGCGCATCCCCAGCAAACCATTTCTCATCCCCAAGTAACAAACTTAGTGCTTCCCATGCTCTGTCCGCCTCCTTGTAAATCATTTCCTCATCAATAATCTCTGCGCTCTTGCGCAACTCCAATTCGGCTGCGGAGCGCAGTTGATGAGCTGTGTAAAGGCGGACTGGGAGAGAGGAGGATGCCGGGTCTATGTAAAGAGGAGCAGCTATCGTACAAAAATTCGAGGGGTTTAGATAGAGGGAATGTAGCTTGAGAAGGTTAGTTGGGTCGTCAAGTCTAATATTGGGGGGAGTAAGGAGACGTACCCAAGCATTTCTTATATTATGATCGATTAGAGCTTGATAAGCTTCTAGTTTTCTACTCTTTGGTTCTGGGACTTTATTTCCTTGTTCCTTTGCATATTTCACGAGTCCATTACTCGGTATCGGGAGGTAGTCATCTTGTGAGGAATTCGATTTGATGCCTGGTAAGAGAAAAGGTAGGACACCAGTAGGTGAGGCATGGTTATTTGAAGAGACAACATTATGATCAACTCCTGCGAGATTTAGAAATGTCTGTCCATACCGTCAGCCTCGTTATTCTATATTCGATATTGCTTGCTTCAATCTCTACATAGGTAGACATACCTGCCATTTTAAACATCCCGGATTAAAACTTGGTCTACCTCCATTCTCTTCGTCGCCCTCTCTACAGAAGATATATAAACTGGGCAATCTAGCATCTCTATCATTTCTTCTACCCTTTGCCCCAGGACTCCTTTGTGGTAGTTCGTTTGCTGGATATGTAACCACAGGAACTTTATCAAATAATTTCTTAACCGGTCTAGGTATACTGAATAAATCCTTCACGGCATTTGTTTGTCGAGTGAAGTTGGATTGATTGTATGTAGTATCTTTCTTCTGGGTAGTCGAGCCATCTTTTCTCTCATTCTGCTTCGGCCTCGCAGATGAGGTTGATTCATTTGAAGGAGGCATAGCTTCTCTTACCAATCTTGAATGGTTTAGATAGAGCAGACCAGGGTAATATCGAATCAGAACAATAAATTCCTCACAAATCCGCGACTGTGACTAGGTACCGTGGTAGTTTCGGCGCGTCTTCCGATAGTTTCCTTTTCTCTGATATGGAACACAGATTAGAACTGATGAGGCTGCCCGCTGTCCTCACCGCACCGACTTAATTAATTTCATTTGTTTAATTTTTTCCATTTTTTTATTTCTGGATAGCCGCGACATGGTAAATTTCAATGCGAAAAAAAAGGGCCGAGGAACGGCAAGAACGGAGGGATAGGATAAGATAAGGCACCTTTGCATTTCGAGTTAGATTTGAAGGTCCATACAAGTTATTAGTCCTGGTGAGTGTGAGCTGTTAGTACCAGCAGGCCAGGTACAATACGTATATTTACCGGAATGTACACATAAATACCGAAGTGTCTCCCGTTTTTAATTGATGGAAAAAACGGATTTATCCGTAAAGTGTAGGATGCCAGATTGGTTATTGTATCTAGGTTCTAGGTACATAATGAGTGGATTGAGGGATTGAGCAATTGAGATTTCAATATTGAAAAGATATCGTGAAGAATATCGAGAATGATCGGGTATGGAAGCTACAGACTCCAGAGTACACAGTCCTTGGTGTGGTCCCATGTTACCACCGAAATAGCAACCTCCATATACATAAAAATGCATCTCTGGCGTGAGCATTATGGAATGATATTGGATGAGGTGAACTGCCTTGGAATCTTTAAAAAGATCTTGGATGCATGAACCTACAAGGGATGAAAAAGAATCCCCGAATCATAAGAAATGGGTCTTGGGTTCAGGTTCAGGTACGATGCGTACAAAATGCAATGCAAGATTTTTTCTGACATGCAGGATAAGCGTGCTAGCATGTCAGTGTGAAGGGAGTATATCGTCACATCCAACAAGGTCATTTTTATCATGAGAGCAAGTGGAAAAGATTGGAAAGAAAGATGGAAAGATACATGTATGTATAAAGGGGGGCAACAATTGAATAGCCGAGCCTTTGTCGAATTCTCTTCATTCTCATACACCCATACTTTCACACTTTCACACTCTCATACATACACAGTTACATATCTACATAATTTTAACTTCTTATCCGACTTCGCAACATGGAAATCGTTGTACCTCGGATGAAGAGAAAAGAAACGTGTGACCCGTTTCGGTTCCACAACGATAAGGCTCTTAGTGACTCTAGAGTCTCACTCACGGCGGGATGAAATATTAACCCGAAAGCAAATGCTTACGAAGTGGCTAACTTACCACTAACTCGATAGTGATATGGGGAAATACTCAAAATGGATTAGTTGTTCGATAAATTGGTACGAGACTACGAGTTCCTTGCAATTGCGGAGAAAACAAAGCGGTCGTTTCTCTTTGCCCATGTCATAAATTGGAGTTAGCAACATCTGTACCTAGTAAGTAGCCGATAACAAACACTTTTGGTAAAAATCAAATGAAAAACGGTTGTGGGATACTTGGAGTTAATAACCAATTAGATTTGAATTTGTCCTCATAGAGAGGATACTTATGAGATAATAATCGACAACCCTGAAATATCCCCATTCAAAATCGTAACTCGGATCATGATACTCCTTCGTTGTCTAATAATTGTCACAAAATATGTTTACCGCTGCTGAACCCTTTTAATCCGAAGTTGTAAATAAAGAAAAGAATCTCGTCACTTGATCATCTGGATTCAACTACTTAACAATTCCTTCTTGTCCTCAAAGGAAGTCACTTGAAACAAAGGACCTGGCTCAAATCATCATCGCCCATATCTCGACCGACCTCTTTCACGAACCACTTTCCCACATCTTCTCCAACAGCGAGAAATCTACCGAGTCCCTAAAAAGCACTCCATGTCCGCTTCACGCTACTCTTACCATCCCACCTCAATTTCAAGTTACTTCCCTACCAATCTTGTACTCAGCCAGCCATTTTACCCCTCATCTCCATCCCTTTTAGTTCCAGTTGACATCTTTGTTTCTGAATATACTCTCACAGAGTCACACTATTCCTCCCAAATTGACACTTGACACATCCACTCGTCCATCATCATATCGCCAGCCACCAATCCGGCATCAATCTACGTACATCGAGTCAAGCTTTCCTCAGAAACTCTATTCCAAGTCCCAAAACAAGACCGATCGTCACATACGATCGAACCATCTTTCGCTTCCCACAATAAGTCCGGGGTTTGAGTTTTACGATTACCCTGTCTAAATTCCGCAGGAGAGCCACTTGTAGAATTTTGAGTCTTAGTTCGACCGAGGTATACTCATTTTGGGAGTTACAAAAAATTACAAGAGCAAAGGGCGAGAAAATCGAGCTGGCATTCATACGTTACGTCGTTCAGTTCATACAAGATACTCGAATACGGATTTATATATACATAATTCTCCTACCAAAATTTAGAGAAAGTTCTTCATATTAGATATCTGCACTGCAACCCCGCTCTTCATCCTAGATATAACAAAGAAAAATATACTTTACTATCTACCTGCAACCCAAAAAACGCAAAAATGAACGCCCCTCTCACATCGCCAACCCGCACCACCTCCTCATCAACCTACTTCCAATCCTTCCCAACCGGCCCCTCGAAATCCTCCTCCTCCTCCTCCAGCGGCCCAACATCCGCTCCTCAACCCCCCGCACCCCAAGCGCCCCAGCGCTCCTCAAGTCAAGATGAAACCTCCCCGTTTTTAAAAGATTTCAACCTCGTCGCCGAAGCAGCCAAGCGTGCACAAATGGCATGTCTAATGCGAGATATGGAGGGCTGTGGATTGTAGATTTTGGTATAGGGAGAATGGTGGTGTGCATGAGCGTGCGCAGATGTCGATATACGATGAATGGGTAGCACACCCACCCATTTCTGCGAATCTTCATCAATTCAATCGTTCAGAATTGGAGAGTCAAATAACTCCCACCGCGAACAGCGAACACAAGGTGAACAGGAGAAAAGAGAAGAAAAGAAGCGATGGGTAAACATCAATCCATTATCGAGATGTATTTTCCAGTGCACAAACCACACTATACATCTCGCTTCCCATCAGCAAACCCCT